CAGCTCCTCAAGCAGCCAACCTACAACGCACTTGTGGCAAGAGATAGAACATCAGTACAAAGTGCAGGGGGTACTTCAATGTCCTCACTGGACCATGCATGATTATTTTCTCCTATTCTGTACATTCAGCTACATGCATCCTAAAACAGGATTCCTTAAAGCTCCTTCATCTTTATACTACTGTATAAATACATACATACAGTATATTTTGCATAGCTTGTAGGTTTGCAGCCTCTTGAACAAGATTAAACTAGCGTGCCATATTAAAATGAACAAACCTTAAAATCTAGTACTTGGTTTTTGTTACTTTAAAAGCCACTTGTTTCTACACTACATTAAGAAATATATTTGATTGGGTGATGGAGTTCTTTAAGTAAGTCTGTATCTATTTGTCTCTGTTACAATTTGTCAAAACAGAGAGAGACTCAAGTGACTCATACTGTACAGCCATCTTGAAAGAAATATTAGCAGAACTTAGTCAGGGGACCTAGACATCTCTGTTGAATAGGGCACACATCCTGTACACAATCCTAGCTTGTAACAAACTCTCAGGACACTGCACAAACTGTAACATCTACTGGATATGAGATTAATCAATTATTATACATAATTATGGAATCTTCATACTAAGACAGCTCATTATTGTTTTAAATTTGCTCTATAAATCATCAGGAGCAATGATTACGTATGAAAAAGAAAACCTAGTATGCATTACTAAAGCTACAGTATGAAACAACCATACTGTATAGCACACCTAAAAGGAAATTATAACTTTTTGATTCATATGAGCATCTTGACCAAATTATTCTTTACATTTTTTTGTGTAGTTCAGAATGAGACAAACTTTTCCTGAGTAACTTGCACCTAAATTGCAAAGGGAAAAAAAAGATATTTACACTTCTTTCCGCTGCACAGGTAATCAAAAAGATACACCATTTCCTCCAGGCCAAAAGAAAAAAAAAGGCCCCTCCTGAATTTGTACTTGTTCATTCAGCAATTATAATTAGAACATCAAACATAATAATCATATGAATCTATTTATTAAACTGGAAGGGAAAGATAATTTTCAGATCTACAAGGAGTGCAGATGGGCAGATTGTTTTGTTTCAGGAGGCGAGAGTTCTGAGTTGCAACAAAAAAAAAGGAGAAATACATTGGGTTGGTCCCAATCCCAGCTGGTACCAGATCTTTACAGTAAATGATCCTTGATGTCTCCCTTATTTCTCAGTGTGCATGCAGTCACTGGGACAGTCCTTCACAGAAGAAACCTTGTGTACACCTCCCTTGCTGCTTCTCTTTCTCCTGCTCAGTTATGGAACATGAAATTTAAACCTCCTACTCAATGTAAATTTTTGCATCTCAGCTGGGGGAAGAAAGAGAATTCTGTTATGCCCTACAGCAGCTTTCCCTATCCTGATATTTCTCCAAATGTTAGACTACAATTTCACAGACCACCTAGCAGCCAACAGCTGTGCTTGTTTGGGGCTGATGAGAGTTATTAGTCTACAACAGTTGAAGAGCTCCAAGTTGGAAAAGGCAATCCTATATGGATTCACAAAAGGTATACATCCATGCTTCAACCCACTGACAAACCCATTGTATTACTTTATTGCTGTATTTCAAACAAAGCACAGGAAAATATGTACTTCCTCTGCCTTTTACTTGATCACAGAACAGCACAATACAGTATGACTTGCAGGTAAATAAGAGATCATGTTATGATTTCATCAGCATTTTTACAAGGGAAGAAACTGATTGTGAGCTGATTGCTGATCAAACAACTTCCTTTCCTCCCAAGTTTGGAAGATATCTGAACATGCATGTAATATGCATTTTACCCACTAGGCAAGAAAGCCTTGCTTGCAGAATCAGGCTTATTTCCTTGTGCATGCATATCAGGGTGGTTCAGTTCTGAAGCTTTAAATAATGCAAGATTTAAAATTACAGAGAAAGACAGGACCAAATAACTGCTTAAAATAAAGTCTCCTATTTTGTAAAGTCATGTATTAGCTAACAAATGATGTGCACCAATAAGTTGGAGAGGGAGCGGATGCAAACTGGACCTGCAACAAGATGCTAGAGCATAAAATGCTCCTGTTTAAGGCCAAGGTTTTGAACAGGACCCTTCATTCTATTCTTCCCTCAAGAATTCCACCCCCCAAGAACACTTACTCAGTATTTCATATCTACTGCTTTGCTTTGTGCTGTTTTTTCAGGTCACTGCCCTCACTTAATTTTAACTCCAAAAAAACATTTTTGTGTGCATTTTATCTTTATTCCAATGGATAGTGTGAATCTGATCTTTTTTTCCATTTTTTCAGGTCATTGCCCTCACTTAATTTTAACTCCAAAAAAGATTTTTGTGTGCATTTTATCTTTATTCCTATGGATAGTGTGAATCTGATCTTTTTTTCCTATGTGTAGTGCTATTTTAATTACCGAATTACAGGAATTTAAGAAATTGCCCTATATTGGGTACAACCTTAATCCCATCCAGCCCACTATTGCAGGCAGCAACTGGTGCCAAGTCTCCCAGGTTTCAGGCAGGAATTTTACCAGACCCACCTTGAGCTACTGGTGATTGAACTTGCTAACTTCTGCAGGCAAAGCAAGTGCTCTGCCCATGGGCAGATCTACTGTGAAATTAATGAAGCTTAAGCTTCAGGGGCCCTAATCTGGGAGGTGCCCCAGAACCAACATTAGTCCAAATGTTTAAAATACTTTTGGTGAATGTGTCATGGAACAACCCCACTGAAGAAGGTAACAGTGGTTACCCAGACCTCACTGATTACCCTATAACAGTTCAAGCTTCTGGGCCCCAAAAATGTAGGTCCACCACTGACTCTACCACTGAACCATGATCACTCTTGTATTCTGACATCATGAATTTAACCTGACTGTTAATGAAACCCAGTTTGCTAGCATAATTACTTTAGTCCATTTTAGTGCCAGATCCTGGAAATCAACACTGACATCAGAAAATGTTAGAAGTGCCTTAAATAACAAATAACTCTCTTTCTCTCTGTGTGTAAGGGACCTCCAACAATAACAGAGCAACTCCTAACAAATGGATGGGATTACTGATGCTGTTCAAATGCAGCTCTCCTCTTCGCTTTCCATGGTCCACACTGCTCAAGACTGACAGGAGGTGTAGTGCAACATCATCAGGACAGCCACATGTTCCTCAGTCTAAGAACCATGTCAACAATAAGAAGCCTTGTCTCCTAAGCCTCACAGCCAGAGGATCAGCTGAAACATTCACACCATGTAATCCACAAAAGCTCACAATGAAATAAGCTGTCATAACATTTTCAATTTCAGTTTTTTTTGTTTTTACTTCTATTTTTATTTTTGTTATACATTCCATTCCTGTTTACAGCAGCGCTTCTTCCTCCCAGCTGAGCTGTTCCTAGTACTGTATGTCAAAATAATTATCGACTCCATTCTTTCCATCAGCTCTCTGCTTCTGCACTAACAGAGGACACGTCAGTACCCTCAGCGTTTGTTGTACTTATTCCTTCAGCCACAAATAACATCACAGTTAAAAGCTGTTTCATTTGAAAACACATTATTTTCTCTGACACCACAGAGTAACGTCATCCAAAAATAACCCTCATCAGCACAGACATGACTGAAATTTACAGAGAACCTGATTTTTTTTAAAGGCACGAGGAGGCTAGGAAAAGCCAGAGGTTTAGGCCTCAGCCTTAGACGGAGTGATAACAGTATCTCCGCATAATGATCAGTTCTGTACCTAGTCTGAAAAGTCTCAAAGGCAAACCAGCATCGGTTTTGCCATTGCTAATAACATACCTTGATAATCAGTTCTATAATTCTTACAACAATCCTGTTGCAAAGTAGAACTCTTATCTCCACACAGCTTATAGATGAAGGGAAGAGTAGAAGGGGTCAGGAAAATAGTTTGCCTAATGAGCTCACAGCTCAGAAGAGATTTCAGCTTACACAACAGCCCTATGAACTGGTGCTCAACAGAACTGAAACACTGTCTGTTTTCAGAATACACATAAAATAATGGCCAACAATGCCTTTGATCATGCGCAGAGGATTTTTTTTCACCTTCTTGCTTTAATAGTCACAGGTGTGAATTGAAAATTCAACTAAAAGTCTCATCCGGTGATCTTGGGAAAATGGGGTATGTCTCTGTCTAATCTACTTCATGGGGTATTTATGAAAATGTATTATAAGGCAATGGGTTCCCAGAAGGGTCTACTACTCTGCAGGAATGAAAAATCAGCTCCCTCAACTGTGAATGGTGCAATCCTGTGCACATCTACTTACAAAGCAGTCCCCCCCCCCACAGGGTTCCGCGCAACTAACTCCCAGGTAAAGCGCGTAAAAGGAGTGCCGTCTGAATGGGTTAGCTGTGATTTCGAGATAGCCAGGAGTTTCTTGCTGCCATTTACACCTCCAGCGCCTGAAGTGGAGACATTTCCACGGACTGCCCAGTCGATTTTAAAAAGCTGTCTCTCTGCCGCTTCCTAGCCGCGATTCATAACATTCACACGTGCTTGGCACAAGTCGACAGGAGACCAAGGCACCGTCCGCAACTTAACACACGCACATGCACCCAAATATAAACAGGGACACACATCCCCCTGAAGCGCTTTGCTCGCGCGCGAAGTTCCCATACTTTCTGAGAAGATCAACTTATTTTTGTCCTCAATTGAGTTCCAGTCGGGGGAGGGAAGGGGATGGGAAAGCCGAACAGAAGCATTACTAATAGGTTTGCTTAACACGGCGTAAATCCGCAGCTGGTAAATTCCCGAGAGCCGGGCCAGGACTTCCTCCTCAGACGAGGCAAGCCCTGCCGGGAACCACAAAACAGGCAACGGAGTGTTTACTCTGCATCCCACACAGAGGAGGTCGCCTAGGTTGCATAAAAGCAACGGGAGAGGAACGGGGGTTTTGAAGGCACCGTTTGTCGACGCGAAGGGAAACTTTGGCTCGCCCCACCCCACACTCCCTCGCCCTGTACTTACCCCTTTTAAAAATTAAAAAAAAGAAAAGAACAAAGAAAAACGGGATTAAAGGAGGAGAGGAACCGCCGCGCTCGGAGCGAGCGGGCTGGCAGCCGCTGAGAGGGAGACTTTCCCGCGCTTTGTCGCCCTCGGGCTTGGGCTCAGGTATTCTCCAGCTTCCCGGGCTCCTCGTCCAGCTCAGCGGTCTTGCGGCTCCCGACAAGGAAGGAGCCGCTCATAATAATATACAGTACCAGCTGCTGGCGAGGGAAATGAATGAGGAAGGCAAGGAGGCGGGAACTCGGTCTCCGTGGCTTCTTTCGGAGATCCTATGAAATCCTTCCTGCTAGTCCCCGGAGGGGAAAGGATTATAGACCGCCCTTGCCTTCCTGCTTTACGCGCGGCCGCTGGAAAAAGGAGGGAGAGAATTAAAGAGAGAGAGAGAGAGAGAAGGAAATGCCTATATTAGAGAAGCGTGACCCAACAGGGGAATGGGGAGAGATCTCGTTTTGTTTTTGCTTTGTTGTTTTGCTTTCTATATAAATATATTGTTTTAATCCTAATTACGTCTTTTCCCTCCTCTTCCACCGTCGATAAGTGAATCGCAGTTTAATGTATTCTCGAATCGCAGTTTGTTCGGTGGTTATGGAAGGGATGAACCCGAGACGCGCTACTTGGGATATTCAAAATACTGTACACGGTAATACCTATGGTGTGAGGATGTGTCAAAAGGGGGGGGGATAGAAGGCAATGAAATGTGCACGTATTGGAGGGTGCTCAGAATTTCCTGGATCAAGAGGGTGTCCGACAGAGAAGTACTAAAGTTCATGAATCAAGAAAAATGTCCAAAACTTAGAGACTACTTCGGCCACTGGACAAGAAAGAAGTACAGATTGTTACAGCCGATCAACCAAAATGAAACAAATAAAATAAAGGAGGCGCAGTTAAGACAAAAGCGTCTTGGCCGGAAAATCCCAGGTGACCCGGTTTCGGTGTAAAACAACATCATGGTATAGATCTCCTCTATCCAGAGTCACAATAGCAATGGTGAATGGGTTGTAGCTGAAGCGCTTGGATGGTGGGGGACAAACAGCAACCCCAAAAGAGGGAGTGGGGAAGAGGGGTTCTTTATCAACGTCTGGGCATGAGTTGGATCTAGAGGGCAGGGCAGGCTGCAAAAAAAAAAAAAAAAAAGGACGGCCAATTTTTCATTTGAAGTAGAGTCCCAATGCAAAGATGCGCAAAACTTAGGCATACACTTCAACTCCCAGTAGAAATGCCTTTCGACACATCGAAAAAGCCTGCCTCTTCGGCATGCCGGCTGATTTCAGAGATCAGCGGAGTGAACAATCTGCTGGTGGAAATGCCTTCCGGCTCCTTGAAGCTTCTTCTGCCGGCTGATTCGAGAGATGAGCGAGCGACCTGCTGGTAGAACAGCTGTCTTGAAGCTTCTTCTGCCGGCTGATTCGAGATATCAAGCGAGCGAGCGACCTGCTGGTAGAACAGCTGTGCTGGTTAAAATAGCCTGGCAGAAGAGTCAAAAAAAGGGAGGAAGGCGCCAAGCAACTCTTCTACCCCGGGAGTGGGAGGGGGGCCGGGGGCACAGCCCCAGTGCTGGCACAAACTTAGACCAGACGAGGGCAGTGCTAAGTCATTTAGGTTTTGAATTTCACACCGCTTAAACTGGCCTCATGTTATCTCAGCTGACCTTGGGCCGGCCTGAATGGCACTCTTACATTGTTGGCATTTTAATTTTACTGCCAGGACTGGAGAGAAAGGTTGAGGAAACTCTAAGCCTCACATGTCAAAATGAACTGACTGTGTGTGGATAGTGTGGATCTTCCTGATGGGAAGAAGGGAAACAGCCACAGTCCCAGATTTAAACGCAACCCAGCTAATAAATGCTTCCTCTCCTTTTTTTTGTCCAACCCAGCAGGAAGCTAGACATTGCAGGATGTCCCTCTAGGCTCTACAGATGGTTGGGCAAAATGCACCCCAAAGCATTTTTGTAGCACCCCAGAATCTATACCTACCTCCCCAACACACACACAAATCAGAAAATGTTGTTCAGAGGTCTCTTGTGCCCTCTAGGGGAAATAGGGCAATTTTCTTTAATATTTTAGGGCTGCCCATACCCCCAAATTATTTCTGGTCAGTAATGAGGCTTTTTCAGTTTTTTTTTTAAAAATTAAAATTAAACTCTTTTCAGTTAACAGAAATGCTTTCTAGCCTTCCTTACACTATATAACTTCTACATTAAAAATAATTTAAAAATATGCCAATAAGCCTCTTTTGCCAGGCTCTTGAACCTTTAACCTTCCCCTAGTAGGCATGGCTCTCAGATTACCACCGAATCTGAGAAATAGCCCTTGGCTCTGCTGACATAACTCACCACTCTCTGGCAACAAAGGTCCTAGAGACCCAGGCCAGAAACTAGTTTTAAGAAACCAAGACGAAGGTGTTGGAGTCAGTACTCAGTACAAAATAGGTACACAGAAATTTACATTGGGATGGGTATAATTAAGGGGAAGAGTGCAGAAAAGCATGTAAAGAAGTACAACACAGTGACCAAAAGCCTGTTGCTTAACATAGTAAGTCACAGTTAAAGTAGGCCTATTTGAATCAGTGAAACTTACAGAGGAGTTGACTCATTAAATTGCTATTGAATCAATGGTGCTATTTTAGTGCAATTTACTACACAATGCAACAGAATTTTCCAATTTGGAAAGTTGTAATTAGACATAAAGTAAGAAAGCTAGTTGCTTCACGCATGCACGCACGCACGCACATGCGTACGTACGTACATACATACATGCATGCATACATACATACGCACATACACGCATACACACACACACACACACACATATACATACATACATACATACATACATACATACATACATACATACATACATATTGGCATTTTAAAAAATGTCAGAAATGAAAGTTGGAGACCCAGATACACGGACAACAAGCCTACTTCATGGAGCAGATAGCTACAATAATAAATTATATAATGGTCCAGGTTACAAACATGGATTAGCTCAAGAGATATGTTTTGGGGAGCCATACAACAAGCATGAAGCAAGTTGGAGAAGTAGTACTGTGACACAGGGCAATTTAGTAGTTAACATGAGAAGAAAGGTGCAATGCTAAGCATAGTTTAAATCCAGAAATCTTTTAACTGCTCTGGAATATTCTATCAGCTGATTTCTGGTGAAAAAAGTCATACTTCTTTGGATGTTTTCGAGATCTGGCATAGAGGTTGGCTAGCAGTAAGCCGTCAACTGCTTATTAATTGGAGAAAATTCCACTGTTGACCAAGAAAATCCGAAGTGATATATAACAGATGTGATCCAGCCACAAGTAATTTTTACTCAATTCTAAAGAAATATAGCTAGCAATAACCAGAATGAGAACTATACGAAGTTGACAGAGTCAGTCAGGGATTTAAGGCACTGAGTAAATCATCTCAACCCTTAGTCAAAGTCATCCAAAATCCCTTTATGACTTTCTGTTATGAAGGGATTTAGGTAAGAAAATGTAATTTCAGTGTACATGGGTTTATGTATTTTAAACTAGGTATGTAATATCAAAACATCAAGGTATAATTTGAGCTAGCCATGGTTGCCATCAAGTAATCATAAAATATTATGAAGACTTTCATTCTATTAGCAAATCATAAGTACCCAGGGAAGGCTGCAGTAATATGAACATATACATATATGTTTGCATTATTGATTGCAAGAAAAACATTTGATAAGGTTCTATGGCAACCTGAAGGAGTTGTTCATAAACAACGTTCCTCATTCAATAAATATTGTTGTGATTGTCATCTTATACTAGCAAGAACAAGCTGCAGTGGAATGTGAACATCAGATGACAAGGATAGGAAGAATGGCATGGGAAGGATGTATACTCTTGCCCAAGGTTCCCTCAAAGGTGTCCAGATGTGCAAGCATCTCTGCCTCCCTTTGTGCCATTTTCCTCCACCTCTGTGCAACCACAGTGAGCATTTCTAGCCTCTATGGTTCTGTTGCGATGGAACTCCATGGGGGGAAGAGTTGTGCAAGAAAAGAGCAGAGCCCCACCCAGCAGGGCTGAAAATTAGAGCCACCATTTAGCCTTGCCATCGCTTTAAATCAATATTTAGCCCATCAATTACCACCATTTAGCCTTGCCATTGCTTTAAATCAATATTTAGCCCATCAATTACACAACATTAACACTAACTGCAAGTAGAACCAGTCTTTTGGCATTTGTACACACAATGTTTTTTGATCCGAAAGGCTTCTGATTGTTGTTGTTGTTTTGCAGTGTTTCCACTCACAATATTACATTATTTTGTCTTGCTTTTGGCTTGTGTGATCACCCTTTAGGGCTATTATTTGGTGTGTTCAGATGACATCACCTATGATACAAAGGGGGCATGATAGGAGAATAAACCCCACTATTTTTGCCTTCCTTCTGTTCACACCGGTAAAGGACTAAAATTGCAACAAACTTCATAAATTACGTTTTTTAAATATTTTTTCTCCTACTTTAGTGCTCTAACACTAAAGTGATCACAGCACTAGTTCAAATGCTTGCCATGTCTTGTTGTCTCGGCGCCTTTTCACTTGCTAAAGATTTTAAAAAGAAGAAGAAGGGATGGCTAACAATGTGGTGATAATGGCAGAGAAGGATGAGGGAGAAGAGGCAGAATGTGATGGGTGGACATTTGTAGTGAACCATGGTAGAGAACTTCACATCAGCCCAGGCCAAATTTCTGTGTGTTCTCACCCTGAGTCCCCAACACCATTGGCTCCCTAGCCAGCAGCTTGGGCAGATATTCAGCTTCATTCTTCATTTCTTCAAATGAGGAAGCCTCACATGGAAGAAAGTTAATTTCTCAACCCAGGCACCAACTGGAAAAGCTGCCACTGTGGTCCCTCTAGCTTTGCATATTGTTTTTTCCTGCCATGACAGGTGAAGCACTGAGTGGGTGTATCCTTACAGAGTGCTGCTTGAAGCTGTGTGGCCCAGTCACTGTCACCTTCATGCCCCCCCATGTCATCTTTCCCTGATGAATCTCACTGGTGGGCACACCTACAGCAATGGTAGCATTGTTAAAGCTTGCTTTGCTGGCACCCTCACTAACCAGGGATTACATCCTGTGAGCTGGATTTTACTTGTCCAGCTTTGATTCCTTGAAATTTGATTCCTAGTTAGTAAAGGCTACTTGAGGGTAGGGTTGGAGTGAGCTGTATGGCCTCAGGAAACTGTACAGTTCTGTCATAAAACTGCTCAGCCCACACATATGCTTTTCTCCTCCTCCTTGTGACTTAACTGATGTTGAGATTGATTGTAAGGGGCATGCGCTGTGGAAGTGGGCATTCCCAGAAGACATCACAGGA